CAACCGTGGGAAGGAGCCGAATTTTCTTGAGCAAGTTTCCTCCTTGGAGCCCAACCGCCGGCCACCCTAGGCCCGCCGGCCGACCACCTTGCCGCCGGCCATCCTCCCTCTCCACCACTTCTCCCCTTCTCTTCCCCCCAACTCCTCATTGAAATTTGATTTTCAAATTTCACTACTTTCCAAATTGGGAAATTCTATTTTTGGAAAGTTTTTGAAATCAATCCAAAATAAAATTTGCATGAGAGTGGATTTATTTTCAGATTTTCCTAGTCATCAAATCCCACTTGGAAACCCCCTTCCTCTCTCCCCCAATCCCCTCCCTCTCTAACCATGCCGCCGGCCCCCTATGGGAAATCCCATTAATGGCTCAATTAAACCCCCCAAATCCTATTTGAAATTCAAATTAGGATTGAATTTTTCCCTCCACTCCTCTTAAAACTGAAATAATTTCAGTTTTACTTCCCCTAATCCCCTCTTCCTACCGCCGGCTCTCCCATAACCTCTCCCTAATTGAAATTTTCAATTAATGCATTGATTACATTAATTGGAATTTCAAAATCCCTAATCCTTCCCTCCTAATTTCACAAAACTGAAATTAAATTTCAGTTTGTTCTCAACCAGCCCGCCCCTCCCCTTGTTCTACCGCCGGCTCCCTTCTCCCCTCTCCAAGCCGCCGCCCCACCCTCCCTCCTTGGGAGACCTTTCTTGCGGCGACCATCCGGATCCACTTGCTGAGTACGACAACAACGGAATGGTCAACATCCTCCGATCACAGTTCTTCGACGTCGGTTTTGACTTCGACGACACCGTCGAAGAATACTTGGACCGGATCTTGCCGACGCTAGTAGATTCCATCGACGAACACTTCTCCGTCTACACGTGGATTATCAAAGGTCGATCTACCGTGCCCCCTCCGCCTCCGAGATCCTTCCCCACGGCGACGTTCCTTGGTACCTCCATCTTAGTGGCAACCTCGATGCTAGTCTGGACAATCTTCCGCCGTTCAACCTAGTCTCCGTAGGAAAGAGAGTTAAAGGACTCAAGGTGTGAACAACTCCGTATTAATTGTGGGATTTTTATTTACTAGCCTTTGCTTTATGTTTTCCTTTGCGTTTGCTTAAATGGTTTGGCTATCTTGTTGTAGTTTCTTTGCCTAGCAAGTTGAACATCGCAAATTTCTTGTAATCGACTTAACTTTGATACATGAATATATAATTCGTTGAGCTAGAATTTGATTCTCTTTTAATTCTTGTGTAACTCCATCCATGCATCACATCACCTCTCCTTCCTTGCTGAAATTATTTTGCAAAGATAGCTACCCCACAAATAGATAGAGTGTAAATTTGCTATTTCATACATAAAAAACAACAACAATATATTAAAGTATTCATGTCATGATTATTCAACAAGTTTTATGCTAAATGTCATACTTGTTAATTGAAATTCCTCACTGTGAACACCTTGCTATGTTGCCGTTGAAACACTGTTATTACTGCTATTTTTACGTCTACACTTAGCAGATTTCTTCCTACGTGTTGGTTGAATATCCTCCCTATGTGTTGGTCGACTATCCTCAGCTTAAAATATAAACCCTTGTTATCTTATTGTTGAAAGATTGCGGTGCTCACCTTCTCATTAATTATGATGATGTAATAAATCTCATAGTGAATATCTTCATGAGGATGATCATAGTGATGTTTCTAGGACTAAGATAGGTGCTCCCACATAGATGTTAAGCATGACCTAAATGCCTTAATGGATTGGTTCTTTGCATTAATATATTTTTTGAATGAAATGAATTATTTGAACATTAGTTGATATACGCTTCATGAATATGAAGTTATCTGGACTGGCCAAATGATTTTGCCAAGGTATCTGATAGGAAATACTTGGGTTCGCAAGTAAACCTAACCAAAATCAATACAAAAACAAGAGAAAACTGCTGTTTTCAGCAGAAAAACAGCAAATCGCAGCAGTTTTAGTGGAGAAAACTCAAGGAAAATGGAGAAAAACAATATATTTCACTAGTAGATTCAAGAACACAAACAAAGATACAATTTCCTTCAATCCGAGAGGAAGGAATGACTCTCCAAATCTCTAGCCGTAGCCTAGAGCCCAAGAACACAAACCCTAGATCTCCCAACAAAATTCAAATGCAAGATAATCCCCCCTTTTCCTCCTCACCTCCTAATTAACCATAAAGGAGGTTTACAAAATGTCTAAACAGCCCCTCGCATTCAAAATTTCCCTCCCAAAATTCTTCCCTGGCCCCCGTCGACTTTGCTCCCTCCGCTCGGTTCCGCCTGTTGGCTGCGGTTCCGTCGCGAGAAGACCCGGACCGGTCCGGGTTGGACCGGTCCAGCCGGCCCCTCCTGGGCCGGCGTAACAGTATCTCATGTGTTTTTGATCACTTAGGCTACCAACCAAATTACTACTTGATCTGAAATGAAGCACTGGCAAAGGGAAAAATATTTACCTTCTTTTTACCGTAGAAAACTACTAGAATAACATTTGATTGTCATACATGAACCATTTTGAGGATTTGGTCACTTGGAGGATCCCATGAGCCTAATGATTAAATATGTCAATGGTTTTCCATTTGAAATGCAGCGAAGTGGACCTCTACTATTCTGTAACCTTAGAAGAAACTTATCATGGAGCTATAGAGATCAAAATGTACCACCTACCCCTCCTGTATGGACTTAGCCCATGCCAATCCTTTGGCCATCTTACGGTCCATGTATCACTGGAAAATAAGTTCCTACTACTACAACCCCAAATAATAACAAATGTTGTAAATGCTAAAAAAGGGTTATTTTGCAAATCAATATCTCAGATATAATATCGGCATTCGAAGAAGATCCCAATGATGTTATTGATCCAGAGGATGAATAATATGAAGATGTAGTGGATAATTATCCAATAATATATGGAGATGAGTCAGAGCTAGAAGATTATAACTTTACATGTTTGTGTCATGCATTCTATTTGTCCACTCCCACTTCAATTAAAATTGGAATAGGATTAGTATTTTCCAAACTTGTGTGACAGTCAATAATAAGAGATGTTAGCTTAATTTGCAGTGATGGAATTATGAATATGATTTCTAAGGGCACACTACTTATTGCTTATCTAAAAGTCTGAACTAAAACTTAAGCCTTTTCATGTTGCTTTTGTAAATATGACTTCTTTATCTGTATTTGAGTGCTTCTTGATTTTTATCAAGTTTGATAATTTCTTAGATTGCAGTTGGTATGATGTACTATTGCTGCATATAGTTGATATAGGGGTTAGACCATAAAGGAGATAGTCAACACACCCATCTACTTCAAAGAAGTATATGAAAAAGGTTTTCTCATAATTTGGGCATCAGATTGTGAATGGGTCAAAATATCATTTTATTGAAATTTTAAACGCGAAATTCATCAAAAAAACTGCAAATGGTGTTGATTCTCATATTAAACCATTGAGATTGAAGTGAATGTCGTTAGGAGTTCTTAATCATGATTAGATTTTTAACCAAACATCCTATAAGGGGAATTATGGCTCTTGAAGCTGTATCATTTGATCAAAATTCAAATTATGGCAGACTAAAGATGAATTTTGAATGTAAATTTAAATTAGGGTAGTGCTTGTAGGAATTATCCTTTAGTTTGAACTTATCTTGGTTGTTATTATACTTTTTTTTTTAAATTTTTGTTTAGTTGGTTTTGTAATGAATTAGATCAACCCATGTTGTAATTTGACTATTTAAAAGCTCAATTCAGCAATAAAGACTGAGAAATTCTCTCAAAACCCTCCCACCATCTTTCTCCTCAATGCCACCCTTCAGCAAAATCTCGATCTTGGTACTGTACCCAGTATATCATAGCATGTGCGACTCTTTAATCGGTATTATATCTACAATATCAAGACTTGCTAATCTTGTAAAAGAAAATCACTTGCTATAGAACTTTTAGGAAGAAAAAAAGCAAGACAAAGGAAGATTAACTGCTGTCTAATAGAGAGGAGGCTTTCCAAAGCAGATAGGATGTTTGAAACTGCTGATTGTAGTACCCCAAAGGCAGAAATACAAGAATTTGTCGGTGTTCTTAATGAAAATACTGAGGAAACTTTTTGTACACAACAAGAATAAGATGAATTTGAGAGGGGAAGATCTAAAATGAGAAACAAGTAATGTACCATTTTATCGATTAATAGATCATTAAGAAACCTCCAAATAGGCCCTAGAACCTTCTAACCATTTAAACCTCTTTATACATCACTGAAAATTGCCTTGATCAGACATGAATCTCTAGGCATATCTAAGTTAGAAACTTTCTAAATTAAAATTGGAATCATCCAAACTCTTATTTCAACAAAATTATAATCGAATTGAATATCTCGAAGAGACTAACCCAACGACACTAAAATCGGTCAAATTCGAGCCTAAATAAGCCAAAATCAAGGTTCCGAGGTATACTTGAAATGTTCGATGCATTAATTGGATGACAAAATGATCATCAAATATGGCACGTGGATGAGCTTCCTAATGTGTTATGGGCTTTTCGTACAACATCTAGAACCCCAACAATAGAAACACCTTACAATCTTTGTTTTGATATAGAAGCAATTATTCCTTTGATGCTGCTAAATATAAAAACAAGTTGAATTATCATCTCGAACTTCTCCCGAAAACATGTGATGTGGTTTCATTGAAAAGTGTCGCTTATCATCGAGTAGCTCGTAATTTTAATAGAAGAGTAAAATCCCGTCCTATCTATATTGGAAACCTAGTCTTTCTAAGTGTAGAAGCTACAGGAAAGGGGCCTCAATGAAATAAACTTTCACCTCTTTGAGAAGGACATATGTGGTGGTGAAAATGGTGAAACCTAAAAGGTGTTCCAAGTCCTAAGGTCCAATCCTTTGATGCAGCTAAGAATAAAAACAAGTTGCGTTATCATCTCGACCTTCTCCCGGAAACATGTTATGTGGCTTTATTAAGAAGTGTCGCATATCATCAATGAGTAGCTCGTAATTTTAATAGAGTAAAACCCCAACCTATCTTTATTGGAGATCTAGTCTTACAAAGTATAGAAGCTGCAGGAAAGAGACCTCAACGAAATAAACTTTCACCTCTTTGGGAAGGATCATATGTGGTGGTGATAATGGTGAAACCTGAAATTTCAAACTTAAAGAGTGAAGGAAAGATGCTACCACGAACGTGGAATGCCGAAAACCTTTAAAAGTATTATCAATGATGTAGTCATTGATTAAATTTTTATGTGCTCAAAGATATGCAAGTTTTTTATTTTTAATGTATGAGTTATTTACTTCATTTTAATTAAATTCTATTCCAAAGGGGATTAAATCGATCACTTTTATATAGGTTAACATCATATCTTGATAAACAACCTCAAAAAGATCTAAAAAAATTTCAAACAAAATCCCCAGGGGGATTAAATCGACCTTTTTTATACAGGTTAACATCATATCTTGATAATCAACCTCAGAAAGATCTAAAAAATTTTTAAACAAAATCCCAAGGGGGGATTAAATCGTCCTCTTCTATACAAGTTAATATCATATTTTGATAAACAACCTTAAAAATGTCTAATAAACTCAATCATAATTTTACACGTTAAAGTTAAAAAAATTGCCACAAATTCTAGGTAGGTAAAAGCAAAAAAAGAAACTTTATAACATGCTTACAAAAGAGGAGAATATAAACTCTATAAACCATATAATATAATGTATCATATAACATCAATGGTGTCGTCATTGTTTAAAGCACTCTTAGCATCATCTTCTATATTTGGCTGAATATCCTAAGATGCTTGGCTAGGAGAAATACCTTATATATTTGCTCTAGTCTTGCATTGCACCAATTGAATTCTCTTTAAGAAGCTTCGGACAAAGCCCTCTTTAATATTTTGTTGTTCCAAAGTCTTCACCTCTATGACATATATAAGATCACGAGCTTGTTGAACATGATATTGAATTATATTCTTGAAGGCTAAAGATTTTTTAAAATCTTCTATGATTTCGGAGATAGTAGTTCCGATCTAGACTTGACCTTTAACAAAGTAGTTTATTTCTCATATAGAAGACTTTGAAACATCTTATTTTCATCTTCAAGAGCTATTATCTTCGTTTGAAAATTTTGTTGGTCGTTCACATGTTGATTAATCATTGTTTGTGCATCTAATAATTCATTGTGAATTCGATATATCTGTTGATTTTGCAAAGAAAGGGAAGTTACCATGGTAGCCAATTTAGTTCTACATTCAGCTAATTGATCTTCCGCTACTCTCATCTCCTTAGCCTTCCATTCATATTTTTGTTTATATTCTCCTTGAAGATATTTGATTTTTACAAATTCATTATTCCAATCATTCAAAATTTGAGTTAGCTCAACTTCAATATCCATTCGTTGCAGCATCTGTAAAAAAGTAAAAAACTACTGACCAATTTATAAGCTCTTCGATGCCCGATAGATTGATGTTACAAAGATCAATCAGATTTTTTAGGAGCATTTACAACAAGATCATTAGGAAAATGAAACTTCTTCTAGAATATGATTAAAGAATCGTCAACAATCATGGACACCACATCATGAGCCCTGGCTATTTTGTAAGATCTTCTTGGGCCGTCATTTTGTGCACATAATGGATGATCTCCTTTGGTCATAGGTAGTTTGAGGGGAGAATGATCATCCATCAAGACTTCTGCACAAAGAGGGGCACTGGAGCTTGATAAGGTTGCGCCTATCCAATATAGTGGAATACTTCTAATGTGAGAAAAAGTTTGAGAAAGAAGGAGAAGAAAAAGCAATATCTGTTCTTTCTACACAAAGAGGGGCATTGAAACTTGATAGAAGATGCCCCCTATCCAAGACATTGAAATGCCTCTAATGTAAGAAGAGATGAAAGAGAAAAAGAGAAGAGAAAATTTTAGAGAGAAAAGTTGTGCTCTTTCTCCACCCCAAGGGGGGTATTTATAGGTATAAGAGTGGGGGTATGTGAAGACTTATTCCATATTTTTCTAGAATTTTTTATAATTTAAAAGGCAAAATTTGATAAAATAATATAAAAATTTAATAAAAAATAAAAAATTTTCTAAAACTAAGTGGCGGTACTGTAGCCACATTATTGTAGCGACGTCTAAGTTTTCACAAAAAAAAAGTAGGGCGCGCTGTACGCGCACCCCATGCGCGCGCGGGCACTGTTGATATCGTGCAGCGGCTGATCAATTCGGCCGCCCACGCATGTTCGAGCTCGCTTTTTTGCTCTGACAGTTTGATTTGGACGTGTTTTGGTTCACGAGAACCTTTTTCGACGTTCCAGACTCAATTCTGATACTTTGGAGGCCAAATGGAGCCTCTACATTCAGTTTCGAGCCATTTCAAAAGTTTTGGAGAGAAATTTTTTGACATTTTGTTCTTTAATCATCATGCTGTTAGACCGGTCCAATGGACCGGTCCAGCCGGTCCACGCAGGACCGGCCCAGCTACACGAGGTGGAAGTTACGCCTCCCGCACGCCCTCCGGAATCAAACAGGGCCGAATAGGAAGGTTTTTGAATGGATTTTAGGAGGGAAATTGATTGTAGGGACTGTTTAGGGAATTCCTTTATATTTGTATGCATTAAATAGTTGATTTTTCTAGGGTTTGAGTATCTTGAATTGGGCTGAAATTTGAGATCTCTTAGATTTAGGTTTTCTTTGGGCTCTAGCGGCGTCTAGAGATTTGGGAGAGTTCAATCCTCCTCTCGAATTGAGGATCAATTGTATCTTTTCTATTTTGTTGCATCTATTAGTAAAATACAAGTCTTTTCTCCACGGTTTTCTCTCCGATTTTCTATTTTCCCACTATTTTGTGGCTGATTTCTGCTGTGGACAGCAATAAAACTGCAGCCGTTTACTGATTTTGGCTAGGAACACTTGTGAATTATTCACAAGTGTTTCCTATCACATGCCAACTTCATGAATGCTAGAATTGTGATTAATGGTATTTTACTTGATCCACAACCATGTAAGGAGGTCCACATTAGCGTCCAGCGAGCGATCGTACCTTGCAATTATAATTTTACATTTCAACTGCGACATCCAAAAATAGAGAGACAACTGATATATCACCAAAAATTGTCTTGATCAGGCATGAATCTCGAGGCATGTCCAAGTTTAAAATTTCCAAAATTAAAATTGGAATCATCTAAACTCTTATTTCAACAAACTTGTAGTTGAATCGAAGTTCTCGAAGTGACGAACTCATCGACACTAAAATCGGTCCAATTCGAGCTCAAATGGGCCCAAATCAAGGGTCTGAGGTATACTTGGAAGGTTCAATGCATGAATTGGATGACCAAATGTTTATGGGTTGCTTATAGTCGAATCGATCGACCACCACCAAGTTTCTTTCCAACAACCAACCATTGTTGGACTTCTACCTACTCGTTAAATGTCGTCAGATCTCTTTTGAATATCCAAACATTACTAGATTTCCACTTCTCTGAATTCCATTTATCTGAATTGTAGAAAAATCTTCAACATACTGTAGGAAGATCTTTTTAACTCATTCAAACACTAGTGAAATCATTTTAGCTAGATTAGGCGCCATGGTTTTTTCTTTTTCACGGTTTTTCACGTAAAAATCTATGTTTCTTTGTTATTACAATTGACTGTTTGTGTGTTGAATTTTTGTTCATCACTAAGACGAAGAATCTCTTTACTCTATCGCCGTAAACTTCTCAGTCCGCAACACCTCTCATTGTGAGCTTAAACTAACAGTGAAATGTTTACTAAATATCTAGCGTATCAGAGCATTAAATATAGAGATGATATAAAGACAAGGAGTGGAATTTCTTGACCTGGAGATGCATGACAAGTCAAGAATGAGGCAAGTGCAAGAAGTCGACTAAATCCAATAAAAGACTAACAATGATTATACCAAAAATTTTATTGACCAAGCAAATGAAAATTATGATGGAATGGGAATACAACTAACCACCACTGCAATTAGTGGGGCAAATCAATTCCTTCTCTATCTATGCTTGATGTAACTATGATTTTCTTATAGACAACTATTCTGAATTTGATCATTCAAAAAATCCAACATTTGTGCTGGGAATTGTAAGAAATTACATATTAATCTTCAAACGTAATTTCTTGGCTTTTACTGTACCATCCAAAATTTTGGAATCCGATCCTCCCAAAGTTAAAGGATATAATGGAGGGCCTCAACCTATGTTCTTTAGGGCTGTATCTAAATTTCTTGAGTTAAATACCTTCTATCATATATTTATTAAATGTTTTAGCTCCATCACCACTCTACTGACATCTTAAAGAGAGAGACTGGATTTTGCCTGTCACTAAGGCCTTTGAACTCATTAAGAAAGAGATATCAAATCCCTTGTTCTTTGATTCCATAAATTTAACAAGGTTTTTGAAATTTATCGAGGACTCCATTGGAGTAGGCATTGGTAGCATCATCTGTCAAGATTGTTATTTAGGGAATTGCTTTATTAAAAAGTTGAATGGTGTTATTTGTTGGCCAATGAAGAAGAAAACTGTGAAGTAAAGCGCTAGTTGTATCCCCTTCTATGTATTTCTTAGGCACCTTAGCAGGATATAAGTTTAAATGGCATATTAGGATTACATTTCTTGCATTAGTGATTATTCCATCATTGTGATGATGGTTGATAGATTCTCGAAGATGACTATTTTTTTCCTTGCTTCAAAACTACAATGCTTCACATGTCGGTAAACTTTCTTTACGGAAGTAATTTGTTTTCATGGAATTCCCCTTTCTATATTCTTTGACAGTGATTTCAGATTTGCTAGTTAGTTTTTGTAAGACTTTATAGGAACTTCTATGCTCTATCATCAAATTGAGATACTTCATAGAAGCACGGACAATTTTTTTAGGCTTCATTTGGGATGGTTTTCTTATTGCTTTTTAAAGCATCTTCCTAGTAAAAAAATTAAAATTTTTGTATTAAAAAGCTGATTTAAGAAACAGAAAGAAAGCCGTCCCAAACGAAGCCTTAGATATCTTGTTGAAAGCAATTTGACTGATTGGGTTCTCTACTTACAAACAGTAAAATTTGTTTATGGTAAGAGTAAAATAATGTGCAAGTCATCATTCAAAGTTGTTCATGGAATTTCACCTAGAATGCCTGTACATCAATTACCTCTTTTATTTGCATGCATACTCAGATACTGCAACATCTTTTATGAATCATTTTCATAATTTATATGTTAATGATTAGAAACAAATTGTAATATATAATTCATAGTATTGAGCGGTAGCTAATTTACATCAGAATAATCGAGGATTCAAAGAAGCGTCCACCTCACATGCAAGAAGTTCGTACAAGAGCAATTGATCCTTTTCCTCCTAATGCATTTGTACTAAACACCACTTATCATGATTTTATCCTATTTTCAATATTGAGGATCTTTTATCACTTTCTTTAATGGCAGAGCCAGAAATTTTATTCAGGAGGGGGCTTAAATTAAACTAGTTCTATTTGTCATCTCATTTGGAAGGTTAGAATATAGTAAAATAGTTCCGTTTTCCGTCTTATTATCAGAGCCAAGAGGAGCTGTAAGATCAAAATTAAGAATACAAATAACATGACCCTTAGAGCTTAGAAGACAAACATCTCCTTTCGTTTGGGGGCGAAAGGAGCGAAACGGAAAACAAAAGCCGTGCTCTAGATTAGTAAATAACTTTAAAAGGAAGAATTGCAAAAATTAAAGGAAACAAAAATTAAAGCAAGTTTCCTCGTTGGAAAACTTATTACTCCGTTAAAGCCGCTAAAACAATCAGCTTTTCATCATTCCATCCACAATGGAAAGTCATTCCTCCCTCTCTCTTTCAATATTTTAATCCATTAGTTTTTCTCTCTCTACAAATGAAGCATTGCATGGTCCAGGTAGAAGGTTAGAAGGTGGATTGAAGACTTAAAATGGAAAAAGCCTATAATAAATTAAATAAAAGCTGACGAGGGATTGCATCATAATGGATGCGATGCTTAAGCTGTATAAAGTGATTTTTGGTGACTTCCTTCATAGATCTTTAGCTAAAATTCAATTGGAAGGTTTGATCAACGTGATTGATCATAGTATAAATTTTAAAAATATATATTATGTTATATTGATAGTTGAGGTGCGCATCGATGCCCGATCAATTAATTAGGTTCACAAAACCTTCTTCACAATTAGATCAACCCCATCCTCTGGCTCTACAATTAGCCTCAATGTAGGTGAATGCTTATAGTTGTTCGACAAAGTGAAGCTAAATTTTTGTAGGATGAGAGCAAGCACGATCTTAAGCTCCACCATGGCGAAGTTTTGGCCCAGGCATGTTCGAGGCCCGGCGCCGAACGGGAGATACATTTGGGGCAGTTTGCAGGCACCCATGACGCCGTGCTCGAATCTCTTAGGATTGAATTCACAGGCGTCTGGCCCCCAGATATTAAGGTCTTGGTGCATTGTGGGAACTGGTATAAAAATATTGATGCCTTTTGGTAGCTGAATGCCTCCAACTTTCATGTCTTGGAGAGCTTCTCTTGAGACCACTGGTCCAGGCGGATAGAGCCTAAGTACCTCTTGGATCACCATTGTCACCTGCCCATAAGTAAATACATTTGATTTTTTTTTTTTTTGCATGAATGTGTGAGCGAAACTAATTTAAATAAGAAAATAAGTATGGCAGAATATTTTGAAGCAAAACGATTCATGACATGTTTTAAAATTATTAGATTTTTGTAGAGATTGGCGCAATTTAAGGTATCATATACAATACAAATTTTTTTTTTTGGGAAAAAAAAATGTAAATTCAAAAACTTTAAGATTACGTTTGGGATGATTTTTTTACTTATAAAGCAGCTTTTTAGAGCATAAAAATTAAAAATTTTCTACTAAAAAGCTGCCTTAAAAAGCAGTAAGAAAGTCATCTCAAAAGAAGTTTTTGTTTAGGATGTCTTTTTTACTGCTGCTTATTAAAACAACTTTATAGTATAAAAATTTTAATATTTAAACTAAAAAGATGTTTTAAGAAGTAATACAAAAGCCTTTTTAAACGAAGCCTAAAGCTCAGGGGTGTTAATTTCTTTTTACTTATAAAGCAGTTTTTTAGAGCATAAAAATAAAAAATTTTCTACTAAAAAGCTGCCTTAAAAAGCATTAAGAAAGTCATCTCAAAAGAAGTTTTTGTTCAGGATGTCTTTTTTACTGCTGCTTATTAAAACAACTTTATAGTATAAAAATTTTAATATTTAAACTAAAAAGATGTTTTAAGAAGTAATACAAAAGCCTTTTTAAACGAAGCCTAAAGCTCAGGGGTGTTAATTTCGGGTCACGAGTCGGGTTCAAGTCGAACCCGAAATTGACCCGACACTATTCAGGGTAACTCGAGCTCGACCCATTTTTATAAACGGGTCTATTTTTTTGACACGAACTCGACCCGCTTCAGGGTCGGGTCAATTTGACACGACTTGAATTATTCGGGATCGTGAAAAAATTGTTAGTTTTCGGATAAAAAAATAGCCAATATCTGCTTTTCGGGTAAAAAATAGGTCGAAAACGGGTTTTCGGGTCAATCTCGGGTTTTCGGGTCAAAACGGTTCAATTTCGAGTCAAAGGGTCAACTCGAATCCGACCCAATTTTTGAAATGGGTCAAATTGTTGAACCTGAATCTGACCCGTTTTAGGTCCGGGTTGATCATAACCTGAAATTTTCGGATCGGGCTCAAGTAGAATTTTTGGGTCGTGTCAAATATTAAAGCTTTTTATTTAATATTATAATATTTAATATCTAAATTGAGAGCTTTGCCTCACCCATAAAATTATGAGTTCATGAAAAAAAAAATGTTTTATTTTAAATACATTAAAGTTAAAGATATTTTTTAAGTAATTAAAATATTAATGTGTTAGATAAATATAAATATTTATGTATTAAAATATATAAATATATGAGAATTATGTGGTGTGTAGAATCCTCCTCATACGATTAAGGGACTGTTTGGGATTGCTGCGACGTTTTATAAAATTGATTATGAAGTTGTTGTAAAGAAAGTAACTTTGCTATTATGACTTCGTAAAATAACTTTCTATCACATGAATTTTTAAAAAGCTATGTGGAAATAACAAGAAAATGATAGTCAAATGAAATTGGGACTGATGTCTAAAAAATAAAGCAGTTAGAAAATTATTTCAAATAGACCTTAAAACTAATTAGCATTTTATCAAAATTAATTAAAAATAAAAAACTAGTGAAGAAGAGTATAGCTACATACCTTATTCCAGTGATTTCGACGAGGAGATTTGGTTTAGAAACAGCTTTCTTCAATTCATAAAGCTTCAAAAACATTTGCTTTCCTTTGGAATAGCTACTTCCAAAACTTGCTCTCGAAATTACATCTGCAGAAAAGCTCTTCAAATCCTCATCAATATTTATCTCAGCTGTTCCTCCTTCCTTCTCAATTCTTTTCTCCCATGTTTCTAACAGTGGGATGGCAGAATCCACCATCAATTCAACCATTCCCTACATAAAACTCTCGCTCTCTTTTCATCAATTTATCCATACAAACATTTTATTTGTATATTTTGTACATAAAATTCTATAATGATATTTTGATATAAACTATATCAAAATGAAATTAAAAATTATTCAATTTTCTTTAATATTTGTGCTATATATATATATGCATAACTTATATTGCCTTAATAATATGAAATTAAAAATTATAGACCTTCCCTAGAAAGAACCTTCATAATATTCCAAATAAAAATTACAAAATTACCTTGACCTTATCCATGTAGAACTCTGGTGCAATAATTTTTCTTTGATGAGCCCATGACTCTCCACTAGACTTGAGAATGCCATGGCCAAACAAAGGCTCATGAGTTTTTTGTAGGTAAGTGGCCTTCCCTAAGTCAAGAGATTTGCATAGGTTCATTTCCCTCACCAAGTCAGGGTCGCTCACGTGCAACATTGGTACATTCCCCATAGTATACAAAAATATTGGACCTACATAATGTAAATTCATTATAAGTTAATAATCAATTATACTAATAACAGATTTATTATTATTATTATTATTATTATTATATAACATTTCGTAAATTACATTTAGATATTATAATCAAAATTTTAAGGTAAATATAATATAAATTGAAAGTGATTTTTCTACTATGAGTACCATTATAAGATAACAATGCAAATACATTTTTTTTTAATTGTCAATGTTGATATCAAGTCTAGATGAAAAAAGATAAGGAAATATTTGAAAATTTTAAATTCATGACAAATGAAAGCCGTCATAGATGGAAAATTTTGCCTTTTCATGCTATGTACAAATTCATAAAAAATGGAAGCAAAATATAATAAAACTTAATACCATCAAACTTCATCAATGATTCTTCTGCATTAAAAAAGTAAGAAGAAGTAGATAGAAAGAATAAGATGATGATGATGACTTGAATGAAGAAGAAAAATATGTTAGTAGAGTAAAACATGGGAGCTAAGTTAAACCTGATTTATTAGTAAATGTCCATCCAGAAACTCAAGAAAAGTTTCAGCCGTAAAAAATGTTATATATACCTGAACGGCAACAGATCAAGCTCTTGCCACGTCATCAAACGGCATTCTTGATATGTCGTTACCTTCATATATCTCTGTATCTAGTCTATATATAGGTCTTTGTATCATAGAGAAAATAAATGAAATGAAAATCACTTTTATCTTATTCTATCTCTGGCTGTGTTCGTTCTCTCTATTCAACATGGTATCAGAGACAAGTTAATTCCTTCTTCCTGGTTCTTTCTTTCTTTCCCTTCCCTGTTTCCTCATTTTTTTTAACCCTCAACCGAGCAGCACTAGCCCCACTCATGGCGTCCCCACCCTCATCCCAGACATCTGACGCCTGCCCACCCACACCATCACAGCCAACATCCCAAATTCACACCGTCCCTGCCACCCTCAAATTCTTGATGACCACTATCAAGAACGTGATTACTCAACCTCTATACACGGATAACTTTCCGGTTTGAAGGACTCAGGTAATAAAACTTTTCAGAGCAAATTCCTATAAAGGATTCTTGGACAGATCTTCTCCTCCTCCGCCCAAGATCATTGCCGACTCCACAGGTCAGATGATACCAAACACAAAATACACTGAATGGCTTCACGTGGATCAGAACCTTGCGGCGTCCCTCTACTCCGTCATTTCATCCACTATACTTCCCTACGTCCTCTCCGTCGAGCATTGCTCCGACATTTGGACTACGCTCGATCGACGGCTCCAATCAAGCACCCGGTCAAGAATTGCCCAACTCTGGCATGAACTTCATTATTTGTCAATGAAAGACAAAAATATGACTCAATATTTACTCGATATCAAATCCAAGGTCGATTCCCTAGCTGCCGCAGGTGCCCCACTTAATGCCGAAGACATAATCCACTACACTCTCGACGGCCTTCCCAACACCTACCAAGCTTTCAAAACAGCGATTCGTACAAATTTACAACCCTTAATCCTGGACGATCTCTACACTCTTCTTTGCAGCGAGGAACTGAATCTTGCGCACGAAACGTCAAGGGAGCTTCAATCTCTTCAATCCTCCGACAAATCCATGGCCCTCACGACCTCTCGAGGCCGCGAACGCAGTCGCTACAACAACAATCGCGGCCGCAACACACCTCCAAACCGCCAGCCGCAAAACAATTCAAATAACAATCGCTGAAACCCCACACCAAGAAATCCTGTAACATGTCAAATCTGCTAGAAATACGGTCACTCTGCGGTCAAGTGCTGGCATCGTCACGATGAGCAATATAACACCGAACAACCCACTGCGGCCCTCTTCAGCTCGCCGAACCCATCCTCATCAATGGAATGGTTTCTTGATAGCGGCGCTTCCTCCCACCTCACCACCGACCCAAATCAATTCCAAACAACCCAAGCATACACCGGTACCAATAAGGTAATTCTTGGAAACGGACAACAAATTCCGATCCACAACACAGGTAGAGGTATTATCCCGACGCCTCAAGGTACGCTAATGCTGTCAAACCTTCACCTAGTTCCAAATCTTTATTTCAGTTTGCTTTCAATTCATCAGCTGACAACAGATAACAATTGCCTTATAACTTTCTCTCCAAATGGCTATGAAATTAAGGATCAGAGGACCCTCCGCCCTCTTCTCAAGGGTCCGTGTATTAACGGGCTATACCCGCTGCACTCCGCCTCACCGAAATCGACACAACCGTCAAAGCTCACGCTTCTGTCTATCCAAGCGATTCCGGACCTCTGGCACCAACGCCTCGGTCACCCCTCCGCTCAAACCATCTCCGACCTGGCTCTACAGCACAAGAACATCTGCAATTCATATATTAGGTCCATGTGTAATGTCTGTAGCATGGCAAAAAGCCATCGTCTCCCTTTTCCTAGCTCTAACACTGTTAGTAAAGAAATTTTTCATCTCATTCATTCTGATATATGGGGTCCGTTTTTTGTGGCGTCTAATAAAGGTTTTCGCTATTATATTTCGTTTATAGACGACTTTTCTAAATACGTTTGGATTTATCCACTGGTTCACAAGTCTGACGCTCTAACTAGTTTTCTTGAATTTCATCGCTTCATTAAATGCCAATTTAAGACTCACATTCGCACCCTTCGCACGGACGGCGGAGGCGAGTTTACCGGAAATAATTTTAAAACTATTCTCAAACACTTCGGTATAGTTCACCAGTTTACCTGTCCCTACTCCCCACCTCAAAACGGCATCGCCGAACGCAAGCATCGCCATCTCACCAAAACTACTCGGGCTCTCCTCATTCAGGCTCACGTGCCTCAATACCTATGGGTGGACACAATTCTTACCGCTGCCTACTTAATAAACCGGCTACCCTCACCCAACACTCTAAAAAAATCCCCTCACGAACTGCTTTACCGGCACCCACCCTCCTACGATCACCTCAAGGTTTACGACTGTCTTTACTATCCTTGGCTGAAGCCATACGCCAAGAACAAACTCTCACCTCTATCGCAACCATGTATCTTCATTGGTTATGCCAACCCACAAAAAGGCTATCGATGCCTTGACATTAATATAAACCAAATTTACACATCCCATCACGTGAACTTCAACGAGGCCATCTTTCCCTTTTATACAGCCACAACCACTCAACACCCGTTTACTAACACTCAGCCTAACATCCCTCCTTTGCTTTTAGTCCCGTCCACTGGCTTACCTACAACACTTAATCAACAAATCTGTTCTAGACCAACCCAGTCACACACATCCAATGCCATTAGCCATCACACCACCTCTCCGCCTTCGCACAATGAACCCGCTCCTGCTATCTCTCAATCACCCACTAACGTGACCGACAAACCTCAGACCCAAAGAGCTATACCCACTAGCCACACCATGCTAACTCGTTCGGAAACCGGCAACGCAAAACCCAAACAGAGTTTTGACCTCGCTCACATTCTACAACCAATCGAACCCACTACATACACTCAAGCCTCAAAATCTGAACACTGGCGCCTCGCCATGTCGCAAGAATTTCAAGCCCTTCAAGAATAAGGGACATGGGAGCTAGTCCCTCCCGCACCCAATCAAAACATCTGAGGCTGTAAGTGGACGTTTCGCACAAAGCTCAAATCAGGCGGCACTATCGCCAGATATAAAGCTAGACTCGTTGCTAGTGGCGGAGCCAGAAACTTTATTCAGGGGGGGGCCTAAATTAAATACTACAGGAAAAGCACCCATTACCGACAGAATTTTCCAGCAATTTTCTGACAGTTTATTTTCCGACGGTCAATTTTATGGCGGTTTGTCATCTCATCTTGAATGTCAAACTACATTAAAATAGTTCCGTTTTCCGTCTTATTAATTACGTACTAGAGCTAAGAGGAGTTGTAAGATCAAAATTAAGAATGCAAATAATATGGCGAGAGAGGAGCGAAAACGAAAAGGAAAACTGTGCTCGAGATTGTGAGTTGCGAGAGATGAGCATAGGGGAAAACGAAGCAAGCAGTTTGTTTCGAGGGAACGCAAGCCATTTGGAAGCAGTCTCTGTTTGGGACTTTGATATGATACTGTTGCCAGAGTGAAAATTTTTATAAAATAATTATTGTGAAAATTTGTAAGAAAATTATTCCGAACAAAACCTAAGGCATATTCTTGCATGTTAAATTATTATGGGATCGATTACACAGAAACCTTTAGCCCCGTTGCTAAAATGCCTACGGTTCGCATTTTTATTCTCATTACTTTACATTATAAATGGAATATTCATCAACTTGACATTTCAAATGCTTTTTTACACGGCACACTATCTGAAACTGTTTACATGCAGCAGCCGCAAGGCTTTCAAGATACTCTTCATCCAAACTACGTTTGCAGGCTCAAGAAGGCTTTATACGGACTCAAACAGTCGACTCGTGAATGGTACGCCACCCTTTCAAATCATCTTATTACTTTCGGGTTCAAGCTTAGTCCCGCCGACCCCTCTCTCCTCACATACCAACACGGCACAACCCGTATGTATATACTCATTTACGTCGACGACATTCTGCTTACCGGAAATTCCCAGTCTGAAATCATCCATCTCCTCACAAATCTCCACTCTCGGTTTCACATGAGAGATCTCGGCCCTCTAGCCCAATTTTTGGGCATTCAATCCATTCCCATCTCTGACGGTGTTATTCTACACCAAAAACAGTATGCTCAACGCATATTGGATAAGGCAGGCATGCTCAACACAAGCACCGTTTCATCTCCCATCTCCTGTAAAATCAATCTCACCACCCAAGCACAGGAAAATTTTGCGAACCCACACCTATACCGACAACTCCTCGGAGCTCTTCAGTACCACTTTAACCAGACCCGATATTCAGTTTACCGTCCAAAACTTAAGCCAACACATGCATAAACCTCTAAACAAACATTTCGACGGGCTCAAACGGCTACTTCGCTACATCAACGGCACTACCAGCCTTGGTATTCCTCTCCGACAAGGCTCTCTTCAACTACAAGGCTTCTCGAACGCTGACTGGGCGAGCGACTCCGACGACCGTCGCTCTATATCAGGTTATTGTAATTTCTTGGGCACCTCTCTTATATCATGGCAGGTAAAGAAGCAAACTACCATAGCTCGCTAATCCACCGAGGCCGAATACCGTTCACTTGCAACAGAGGCAGCCGAAATTCTTTGGCTAAGGCAACTTCTAGCAGATTTTCACTCACCGCAAATAACACCTACCATCATTTATTGCGACAACACTTCCGCTATCGCTCTCGTCAACAACCCAGACTATCACGCTCGCACCAAACATATAGACGTGGATTGTCATTTCATCCGGAATAACATTCAAGCTAAACACATCGCGGTATATCATATTTGTACAAATGATCAGACCGCCGATATCTTCACCAAGCCACTCCCCATTCTCCGGTTCAAACAGTTAACAAGCAAACTAATTCTTCCAGTAATAAAGAAACTCATCTGGTGCTCCTAAGCAGGTATTAGCAACTCCAGCAGGTATGCACCGCATCAGCTGTTATATATACCTGAACGGCAACAGATCAAGCTCTTGCCACGTCATCAAACGGCATTCTTGATATGCCGTTACCTTCGTATATCTCTGTATTTAGTCTATATATAGGTCTTTGTATCATAGAGAAAATAAATGAAATGAAAATCACTTTTATCTTATTCCATCTCTTGCTGTGTTCGTTCTCTCTATTCAACAAAAAAGGGCCATTAAAATATATCAAGAACTCAATTTTATTATCCCTTTCAATGAAATTTTTTTTCTCCCAGGCGAAGAAGAGGAGGATCAAAAGGGTAAGCTGAAGAAAAAAAAATTTAAAGAAGTGCTTACATACCATACATATTTCTCCATCTCTCAAAGTAAGGAAATACGCTTGAAGTATAGTCATGCCTTATCTTCTGATCCTCTCCTCTCCTCCCGGCCTTCTCCTCCCATACCAACCTCTTGGCCTCCTTCATATTTCCATGGAGAAAGGCCGGCGGGGGGCCGCCGATGCCTTGTCGCCGCAGCTTTCTCCTAATCTTTTCAGGCCTTATCCAGGCGTTATAATAGAAGTGCAAAGCAAAGCCACAGAATACTAACAGCAGAAAAGAAAGAAAATAATCCATTAACATCTTCACTGTTCTTCTTCTTCCTTCTCCCTCATAACAAAAACCTTAAAGATGTTTCAATGATATGAAATTCATTGGATCAGTCTTTCATAACGCTCTAAAGCAAAGCCATCATAATAAATGAATATAAGAAATGGTCTATGGTGGGATCTCCGGACCGTAAGGTGTCCGTAGAGAATAATTTCTCGGAGATGAGAGGCCACGAAAGGTAACGGCCAAAATACTGCAATTTCAAGGGACAGAGGTTATATGTGGAATTGCTTTATAAAGTTTTTTGAGGAATGTCTATAGAAATATTATATCATTTTTTTGGATGAAATATCATATCAGTTATTTTATATAACAAAATGTCCCACTCAGCTAGGACTGTATGCTTGCGCGTTTTTTTTTTTAAATTAATAATTATTTATTTGTAGTTGTATCATAATTTTACAAAAGCCTTTTTATAGATTATAAGCTTCGGGTTTCATTTGGGATAATTAGGGGTGCAAACTAGTCGGTTCAAGCTCGAGTCTAGCCTTGTTCAAGCTTTACCCACGAGAAAAATGTCGAGCTTGAACTCGAGTCGAACTCAAAAGTTGAGCTCGAGCTCGACTCGCTAGGAAAAAATGAGTTTGTCGAGTATGAGCTCCGATCCCGCGTCTTGCGGCTGAGCTTTCGTTTCCCACCTTCGATTTCACTTTTCCGCCCGCCTTCTCGTCTTCTCTCCTTCCGTCTCGTCAACGGTTTCATTTTCCCGCCAACTCGAGCTCTTATCCCGCTTCCCCCACGTGTGAATCGTCTCCCGCCTTCCGCCCCGCCCACGGTGCGATACATCTTTCCTAGTGTTATCCCAACATTCATTTCCGCCTTTGCATCCAATTGTGATCCTGACGTTCAATTATGCGAGCAGCTTGAAGAGTAATCAAGTCGGGTGGAGGATTGTTCGAATTCGAGCTCGATAAGCCCGTCGAACTCAAAATCGTGTTTGAGCTCGACGCGCTAGCTCGATAAGCTTGACTCGTCGAGTCCGAGCAGGCTCACGAGTCAGCTTGATTGGGTTGCACCCCTAGGGATTAATTTCTTATTGTTTTCTAAAATAACTTTTATAAAATTTATTAAACTAAATTTTTTTTACTAAAAAACTGCTTTTGAAAACAACAAAAAACTCGTCCCAAATGAAGATTTAATATATAACACCAACAAGTAGTTTTTTCTAAAATAAAAGTTGTTTAGGTTTTGTTAGAAGTATTTACCAATGTAACTAAAATTAGAATAGGTACATCAAATGATAAAATAGATTTTAGTTCAAAAGCTTAACTTTGTAGGTGAGTGACTATAAACTAGTATTCCCATATTAATATATTTTTTAACTATCTGATGAAGAACCAAACTTGATAATCTCACATCTTGATAACTCTCATTTTTCATAAGATAGCTCCCAATATTAATTCTCTCCTCACTTCAAATAATTAAGTATCATAAACTAAGAGCCAACATATTTACAAGGTGCTATAATGAGAGTTACACACCCATGAGCTCACATATCAACATGAGGCCTTCATCGAAGTCACCCACTCATAAATCTAATTATATCAAGTCTTAATAATCCCCTTTCTCATACGGAGTTCTCGCACATCCAACACTGACACCACGGTTTATGCTCATCATCTTGTTTTGTAATCCATTTTCTTATAAAGGTAAAGATTGAGCAAATTACCAACGATATTTCGAAGATAATTTCAACTTCTCAAGACTTTCTTAAAGTTTTACAATGAAATTTATCATCTGTCGTTCATATCTATTAATGCTTCATTTGGGACGATCTTTTTAATGCTTTATGAAGCATGCAATTTTTTAGTACAAAAATTAAAACTTTTGTGCTAGAACGCTGCTTTAAGAAGTAATAAGAAAGTTGTCCCAAACCAAGCCTAAATTGTATTAATGCCTTCCATAGTTAGGAAGATGAGCATCATTTGTAACTTACACTACATTTAGTAAAATTATTTCAATTAAACTAAGCCAGTAAGCCCCACTATTGTTTTCATACAATGCTAAAATTATAAATTATTTCTAAAGCAATGAATATATATAAAAAATATTGTGTCAAGTATGAGCTTCTTACAACTTATTTTTTTCGTAAACATTCAAAAAAATTTGTACAGTATTAAAATAATAAATTATTTCTAATGCAGTGAATATTCTTGCACACAATAATATTAAATCAATCTTCAGGCTTGACTAAAAAAAATAATTACAAATTATCAAATCAAACCAATATATAATCAAATTTAATTTGATAGAAGATTAATTAATAAGTATTATACAATTTTAAGGCAATCGAATAATCCTAAAATCAAATATTTCAATGTCCTATTTTGAAAGGTACTTTTTTGTCACAATAATAATAAAAAATAAAGTGTCACACATATAAACCAAAAAAAAAAAAAAAAAAAAAAGATTTATGAAATTTCTATGAAAAATTCCTCATAGGATATGGCCCCCCGTCCATGGACCACATTAACCACTTGTAAATTAGCAAGAGTTCACATGCAACTACACCAATTTGGGCTCCTTTGAGTATGTGTGGGCCATATAAAGGGATTGTAATTGGGGGGTGATGGAGCCGGATGGACCATAGTTAGTGGGCGATGAAGGTCCGAGTGGACCGTAGTCGGTGGGCGACGATGGTCAGAGGGACTCTAGTCCACGTGCAATTGTGGTCAAAGGGACGATAGTGGGTGTGCGATGGTGGTCAAAGGGACCGTAGTCGACGGGCAACGGAGGCAGGAGGGACAATAGTCGGTGGGCTACAATTGTCAAGGCCCAACAGGTAGGAGGAGTGCGTCCTATTTGTCTGTGAAGATGAAGCAATTATTGTCGAGAGCTTCGTCGTCTTGGGTGCGACGGGCTATCCAAACGATAATTGGGCGGGCGACAACCCAAATGAAGATGATTAAGCCAATGAAGGAGAAGCAGGACATGAAGGTTCATGAGGAAGAGAGGGAAGGAGAACTCGAGCGAGTATTCTTGGAGCCAGATGCTGGTTGATGTGCTCATGCTGGCACAGAAGAGCATAGAACGCATGGGTAGATATAAAAAAATGGTTCTTCTCCACAATTGAAGATAGAGTGGTTATATAATTCCTTTGTAAGAATTACAAGTTGAGTGTCTACAGGTGGACAATTAAAATTCATAAAGTGATTTTAATTTCAATAGTCATCAAGCGGTAATAATCAGAAGATAGTAGTTGAACAGTGACGACAGTGATTGCTAATGACTGCCGTTGGTGGTAAACGCCAAACAAAATGCAATAAATTTCCTTAGCTTTTAATTTTTCAATCTATTTCATGAAGAAAAAGATGTTCAATTCATAGCATTTGAGAGTATCATTTTTGAGAATTCACAACACTCCATCAAACAGTCTATATTGATTTCCTTGATTATAGATAGCTTATTTAGCATTTTAAAAAATTTCAAATTTACTTTAAAATTAATACAATATAAATATAGATTTTTTTTTTCAAGTCTTGTTGTGTGCAAGAAAATTTGAGTCAGTAGAGTGTGTTTCACGTCTAAGCGGTGTATACAAATTCAACACAAATAGATAAAAGAGTAAGATTAGAGAATTTTTTACGTGGAAAACTAGGAAAAGAAAAAAACCACAGGGCCTGGCCTATTTTCAAAATCTACTAAATCTACTAGATATTAAGTGATATAAAGATCTTCACTTCATCGTTGTTGGAGAAGAATGAGAGTATAGAAAATCAAGTATGACAGTTAATAAGCAATAACAATGTTTGGTTTTCCCAATATGTATTATAGATGCTCACATATGGACTATTATACCGAACAATAAGGTTAAATCCTATTAATACTTTGGAGATGGCTGAGATTTTTTATGATGATCCTCAGTGATGATGGTGGTTGTCGGTGACAATAGCTGACGGTTGTCAGCGGCGGTGTTAACTGGAAAATGCTAGAGAGCTCTCCCTAGCTCTCTCCCTTCTGCCTCCTTATGTGAAGAATGAGGACATATTTTTAGATTTTTTGGAGTGACACTCTGTAAATCTTTAGAAAATCTAAGGCAAATTAGTTGTGCTCCATTAAACGGTCCACATTGATTCATTAGATTATAGAGCTTTCAAGAAGCATTTAAGTGACTTAATGATGTCAGAATTAAGAGGACTTAGGCTCATTAGATTATTCTCGTCGTGTTGCTGGATTCAACAATAAACTTGCAATATTTGAAGATTATTTGTTTATCCAATTAATGTTTTGAAAGTTCTAAATATATATATTTAAGTCCCTTTAATCGAGCCCATTTGGTCGGATTAGATTGATTTTGCTGTCATTGAGGTCGTCTTGTCGAAGTATGATCTCAAATTTAATTTTCAAAGATTTCAATTCAAATATGCTTCGAGATTTATGCTTGATCAATATGATTTTTGGTGACATATCAACTATGATTATAATCAATTATTCTGATTTTTGTGCTATATTTTAATAAAAGTATATAAATTAAAAAAATATTTTATTCTATTTTAAAATAAATCATATATAGTGACAAAAGTAAAAAGCTTGCTATTCATACCTTCTCATAAAATCCCTATTCATTAAATATGGATAACTAGAATTACAATCTGCTCCATTTAGGGGTACATTGGATAATATATATAATTATTTTTCGTACAATGTATATTTATTTATTTATTTTTGTTCGTGGAGAACGTATCGCTTCGTTGGCCCATTGGTCCCCCAGTATAATAGCTGTCTTCCCCACACATCTATCTATTTAACAAATGCTGCAACAACAGCTATTTTGGTTCAATTTGAAATAATTATGATTATTATGATTATATATATATATATTAGGGAAATCCACAGAGGAGCCTACGCGTTAATATAAAGGAAAAAAGTACAAGGTCCTTAAAGGGACCTCAAGCTCTCTACTGCTCAAAAGAGCTACAAAATAAAAACTAAAACCCCTCTGAACTCAAGATCCCTGCTACATAAAAGTACAAGAAAATCTATGTACATTCCACGGTGCACCAGAAGAAGCACCCAAAAAAAGAGGAAGCAACAAATAAAAACCTTCAGTGCGAGCTTCCTGTCCAAAAAATTGATAGAAGTATAACCTGCATAAAAAAAAGAACCTGCAAAAGGGAGAACAAAATCCTCCAAGATAGACATAAAAACAAATAGCATAATACAAGGAAGAGAAACCACCAATGATAAATGTTAAGCCCAATCAAGAACCCACAGGAATAAACCACCTTGCATGGTCCTCCACTCCACCAGAAAAATAACACAGCAGGAAGAGATATGAATACCCACCAACCAAGGAAAGAACCCCTCAACACAGCTATCAGAACTAGGAAAGACCAAGCTGAAAGCTTCGGTGAAAGCTTTGGTGAAGCCAGAACAAGAAAAGGAAAGAAGAGAAACAAAGAACTGAAAATAGAGAAAGAAATAAAGTATATTCAAATGTAAAAGAGTACAACCTATTATATAGGCACCATAGATAGCCTGAACAAAATAAACCAATAACCATGTTACACGTGTAAAGTGAAATAAAACCAAAGTAAATAAAGTAAATAACTGCTGTCTAATATCCCCCCCCAAACTGGTGTCTCCAACGGTTGAACCAGTTTGTGAGCAAGAAGTTTGAATCTAGGAGTAGGTAACGGTTTTGTCAGAATATCAGCTACTTGATCGGTTTTTTTTCTTTAAATTGATGGGAGGAGTGAATTTCTTGTAAGTTTTTTTTTTCCGCTAAAGCAATATTTTTTCCTCAAAATACATTTAATTTAGATTTAATTTTACTATTAAAAATATCATATTATTTAGCTTTGTTAAAGTATTTTTATGCTAAATCAGATATTTCTCTTGCCACCAAGCTCCTCCTCGAGATCGAACTTTCATCGGACTTTCGCCAGACTTTCACCCAGCCACCGACATAAGCCGGACTTACACCTGGCCGTTAACACTGGACTTCTGCCCGGCCATCAACTCACACTGGACTTCTGCCAGGTCACCGATTATGGTCCTTCCGACCTCCATCACCAGAATACAATCTTTCTGACCACTAATACTCGCCGACTACGGTTCTTCCGACCTCTGTCACCAGACAATGGTCTTTCTATCCACTGTCATCTGCTGACTACAGTCCTTTCGACCTCCTTTTTCATACAACAATCTTTCTGACCACTGTCGTCTGCCGACTACGGTTCTTCTGACATCCGTCGTCAGAATACAGTCCTTCTGATTTACGTCGCCATACAACTGTCTTTCTAACCTTTGTCACCTCCTTTTTCAGACAACTTCCACTGCCTAACAACGGTCATTCCGACCTCTATTGTCATACTACGATCTTTTTGACCTCCATCACCCGTTGACTATATATAGTCCTTTCGACCTTTGTTGCCAGATAACGGTCCTTGTGACCTCTGTCACATGAATATGATCTTTCTAACATCTGTCACCCGCCGACTATGGTACTGCTGACCAACGAACATATCGATATTGATTCTTTCAATTTCCACCATGTAATGCATTCTATATGATGTATATTTGTTATATCAAGCCAATGCCTTCTGTGAGTTCCATCCAATGAAGGACCTCATTTGTAATGAATTATAAATACTAGTAGATTAATTCAAATTGGGATAGGCCTCATGATTTTTCCCCTTTTTAGAATTTTCTACGTAAAAATCTTAGTATATCTTATAAATACTTTACCATCTTTTTTATATGATTGTGTACTGGATCGTCGTACAAAACTATGATGCTAAACTTTATATTTATCTACCGCCACAAATATCAAAAGACCCAACAAGAACAAATACTTGCCAAGAAAATTTATTGTCATTTTATTTTGCTCTTAATAGAATTTCAAAACTACTGCATAGAATATAACAAGAAAAATCAATAGATAATGATCCACTTACATAAAATATGGTATAGGACACAAGATTAATTAAATGACAGGAAATTAACTAGTTGAGTTTATTAGAATAGTGTTAGATAAAAATTGTCATTGCCCACATAGAGTAATAATACCCTATCATATAAATGGAGGGAGGGAGGGAGCTAGAGAATATTTTTCTTAGAAGAATAAGATTTTATCTTCAGAGTCTTACATATATACATCAATCATCCTAGTATTTTAATGACTTAAAATTTTAAGTAAAATTACATCATTATTATGTTATCATCAACATCTTAAAAGGAGAATCAATATTAATATATTAGTGAAAGAATGAATGAAGGCTCCTACCTAAGTAAAGAGATTTTTTATAATGATCTTAATGGCCATGAGTGGAAGGAAGAGGGTTAGAGTGGCTCTCACCTCCTATATTTAAGTCATATTAATATTATTAATCTCTTAATTTGCAGTACACATAATAGAAATTGAGGTTATCATAAATATCAGCAACAACAACAACATGAAGTCTTTGAAATGTTAAAAGTCAAATTCTCATTTAATCTAAAAAAGAAAGATTATTTCTAATTTTTTTAACCAAGTTTTTATATATATTACCGCGGGCTAGAATATACGCGGCGATAGATTTATAAAATTTTTCGTCTCAGCGTTGTACTGATATCCAATACAGAAGATGAAAGAACACCATGATTTTTACGTGGACATCCCTCGAAAGGGAAAAGCCTAGTGAACGAATTCCACTAGTGTTTGCTTAGGTTATAAGAGGCTGACTCGTCCCTAAAATTTAGGACGATCAGATTACAATAATCAACTCTCGGGTTGAAATTCAGTTACAAACGGATATTGATCGAAATGCCGGCATCAATTGGCAATCAGATAGAAAACTGGCGTCAGTCGGTAGTCGAACAAAGTTCTAGCGTCACTTGGTGGTCGGACGGAACTCTGACATCACTTGGAGGTTGGGAGGAATTCCGACGTCACTTGAAGTTCGGGTGGAACTCCGACGGTGGTCGAGGAGGAGTCTCTTCTCTCTCTTCTTCCGTCCTTGTTTAATTCCGGCGTCGATCGGCTGCCAAGTGAAAGTCCGGCGGTGGTCAAGGAGGTGTTTCTTCCTTCTCTTCCTTCTCTTCTTGCTTTCTTGCTTAATTCCGACGTCGGTCGGCTGCTGGGTGAAAGTCTGACGGTGGTTGAGGAGGAGCTTCTTACTTCTCTTTTTTTTTTTCATTCTCTTCTTCTTTTCTTCTCTCCTTCTCTTCTTGCTTCTTGCTTCTTGCTTGGGTCCCCTCTCAAAATAAATGAGGGGTTTATTTATAGTTTTCTGAGAGTGGTATGTCCAGTAAATAAGAGGAAGATCAAGGGTAAATTAGGAATGGTTTGAATGTACGGCCGATGTTGAATCTCTTGATCGTGGACCGTTTATCAGGCATTTGAAGGCTCTAATGATATCAAAATTTGACGATCTTGGGCTCGTTGGATTCGGTTTGTCGAGCCGCTAGATTCGATTATAAGCGCGCTATATTTGAAAACTGTTTGGTAATCCAAATTATAGTTTGAACCCTCCAAATGTTCTTCGGGTCATCGATTTGGGCTCAGATTTAGTCGAATTTGGTGTCATTGGATTCGTATTTCCGAGACGTTTAGTTCAACAGTAAGTTTGCTGAAATCGGAGTTCATATGATCTCGGATTTAATTTTTGAAACTTCCAACTTGATATCTCGCGCCCTATCAAGATATGTTTTTTCGTAAGCAAGGCTTGAATATCTCTAAATATTTGTATAAATCACATAAGGCCTCAAAGTGAATTACCTGACGATTTTATTTATTTTCGAATATTATTTTTATGACATTCTCACGCATAAAATTGGAGAGCCTTACAAAGATCAACATATGGGCGTTTGGTCTAGTGGTATGATTCTCGCTTTGGGTGCGAGAGGTCGCGAGTTCGATTCTCGCAACGCCCCTTCCTTTTTTGTTGTTTTTTACTTCCAATTCTCCGAAGTAAGAGAGAACATTCTCATGTTCTCGTAAATGCAGTTGCAAATGAAACTTTTAGCAGAGGCTGGTGATTTTATTACATATTTACCTATTTACCCTCTACAGTACAAGTTTAACAAAATAGACAGTCAAAGAACTACTCTTTGCAGCCCTTCATAAACAAATCAAAATATTTATTTATTTATATTTGAAATCTATTATGATAAAATTTGGTTTCAAAAATAAAAAAATGGTTGATAAATAAATAATTCATTCATTCATTTATTTATTTATATTTAAAACACTTTCAAAATAATTCAAAACAAGCTAGATGATCTTTTATAGACATAAGCATATAATTTTATCATTTGAAAAAAATAAGCGACTTTAAGAGATATTTCATAATTTGATTAATTTTTCTTTTTATAAGATTATTCATTGACTGATTTGATCTAATCAAATCCAACTCCCCTCTTTGAAAGAACAAACATGCTTCTATATAGGGGTGTCAATATTGGACCCGGCCTGAAAATTCCTAGTTTGGGTTGACCCGAATCTGAAGCGGGTCGGGTTCGGGTTCGAAAAATCGGCCCGTTTGCTAAACCGGGTAGGGTATGGGTTGACCCGGAAACTCGGAAATGACCCAGAAACTACCCCGGATGTCCCACTTTGCCTGCCTGGCTGCCCATGTAATCGTGCGTAGCCTGCCTGAGACAGAGTCGCATCGCGGTCGCCTGCCTGCGTGACTGCAAGTAGCCTACCCGCGTGACCGTGTGTAGCTTGCTCGTGACAGAGTCTCGACGCGATCGCATGCCTGCATGACGCACGTTGCCTGCATGACAGCCCGAGTCACTTCGCCACCTGGGCGAGTTGCGTCGCCGCCTACGCGAGTCGCTTCGCCGTCGTGCGCCTGCCCCGCGTTTCCTGCACCGCCGGCGGCCGCTGCCTGCAAGTCAAACAGTATAGCCATCCAAAGTGGATTGAATGGCCAGGAGTAGTACCTGCAACTTAAGAGGATCCAAATCCCTTATAAAGGTAAAAACAAATTATTAAGATAAAAATTCGTAAGGGGTAGCTTACCTGATCCGGAGTTGCATGTGAGCCATAATGCACATCTTTACATGACAAAGCCTTCATTGCTGCAATAAATGATTGAATCTGCAAAGCACACAAACAATTTTCAAAAAAAAAAAAAAAAAAGAGAGAGAATTTTGCTGCTAGCCAAGTATTTTGGATTATTGAATATCAAACAAAATTAATTTATCTAGAGTTACATAATTTACTTAAACAGCAAACCATTTTAATACCTTATCCACAACAGATGTCAACTTGATGGTCAGGTACAACCCAGTAATAAGAGATGAAAAGAGGCTCCCATATTCCTTGTTAAGGAAGAATCTATACCAAACAGGTGTTGGCAATAATGCACGGTACAAGAGGAGAAAATATTCCACAAGAGTTAACATTTGACCCTGAAAGCAAATTTGTGATTGAAAAGTTAGATTCGCCATTAGTTGAAATATTTTAGGTCACTCTAGGGACATTTACTAATAAGTCTAATATATCATACTTCTAATTTATAATACCGATCAGACACAAAAACTTCAATGCTATCAATACACCACTAACAACTTCAAACCCTTCCAAACTTGCCACCACTGGTAAACATAGAAATCATACTAGGAATGCTACTTTAAGTAGGGGTGTAAGTGAGCCGAGCCGTCTCGAGCTCGACTCATTTATGGGCTCGCGAGCCAAGCTTATCGAGCTCACAAGTCGAGCTCGAGTTTGAAATTGTTTAGTAAACGAGCTTGAGTTCGAGCTTGAGCCGGCTCGGCTCGTGAGCTCGCGAGCCGACTTGAATAAATATTAATATTTTTAAAATAAATTAATAAAAAGCACCTATATTTTATTTAAATGTTAAACATTTAATATTTTTTTTTAAAAAAATTTGAATAAGTTTTAAAAATTCCGGCTAATTTTTAAAAATTTCGCATAAATTTAAAAATTCCCGCCCATGGCTTGCGAGCCGGCTCGAGCTCGTTTACGGTGAGATGAGCTCGAGTTCGAGCTTGCTTTCCAACTAACGAGCCGAGCTCGATATGGGCCTAAACTCGACTCGACTCAACTCGTTTGCACCCCTAACTTTAAGTCTATCTCCACATTTTGAGCATATCACACCAAACAAGCTCACCAAATAGACTATATCCAGTGTACCCAGGGGTTGAGGCTTCCCACAATGTAGGTTCCAAAAAAGAACTGATGTACTCAGCCTCAATTTGGCTATCCCTGTTCAATATGATTTGGCTACGAATTATGCAAGCAAAGTCCTGGATAGCATTCGGGTTACAAATTCTGGAAACAGCTATGTAGAACTAATGCAAGTTTTAATAATGTATAGGAATCTCATGGACAGAATCTATCCTAAACCAAGTAAAAACAAATTACCTGCTTACGATAGCCCCGCCCTCTACTGTTCCTGTAATATATTAGCAGCACACATTTTAACACCATAGCCGCCTGCCTAACCATTGTATCTGAGAATGATTGATGGGAGAGTAACTGTTAAAATACACCTAGACAAATTCTGAAAGAAAAGATTAAGAGGTATAAAACCAGATTGAATACATTTAACACCATGAAACTTAACACTTGTGACTTGTGAGCACATGCATATACCGAGTGACAATGTCAACTACCCAAATAAATAGTTTTATTTTTTTTTTCTAGGGAACGCTAGTAACT